AGTCTTGCCTCACCCTGCACGCCAGGCCAGGCCCCCCTCACACGCGTCTACCTTCGGGCCGTGGCACCTTTGTCACCACTTAATGACTCGGCATTGTTAGTTAGTTGCCATCTCCTCTATTAGGCAAAAGCAGGCAGTAGTCTGTCCCCTGAATCTGCACCACAAAGCACAATACCTGGCACATAGTTGCCATTAAATATTTGGGGACTGAGTTTTCTATATTGGAAGTGAAAAGGTCCGCAAAATTTGAACATTGCTTAAAGTGATGTTTAATCCTGTTAAAGATGCCAGATCTGTTTCATGTAACCCTTTTGGATTAGAACAGAGTTGGCAAACAAAGGCCTGGATATTTTTGTAAGTAAAGTTTTCTTGGAACACATCCACACTTACACCAGTATGTGTCACCTTTGGCTCCTTTTTGTAAGAGACAACAGAATGGCCTGTCGTACCTGAAGCGGGTACTTGTGACTCTCGATGGAAACAGCTTGTCAGTGCCTGGGTTAGAGCACCGTAAACACTTACTCCATTCTTTCCTGTCTTCCTGTGAACTTCAGATGAGGCTTAATCTTGAGGTTTCTTGATGACTCTGCCGTGAATTTGTTACTGTATTTTTACTATATGGGGATGCTGATAGGATTTATGTAGAACTTGTTTTTTCCGATTTGCTTTTTATTCACTGCAGTCTTTAATTTTGTGATATCTGTGCCCACTGCTGACAGGTGGACCCTTCTTTCTCATTCCGAATGTGTGCTTAGGACCCTCTGTGAGCTCAGGAATGAGATAACCAGGCTTTTCAGAAGTAAAGTTGAGTAAGAGGTGCGGAGGGTTACAGGTTCCTCTGCAAGAGTAACACAAGAGCTTTTTGTGTGTGAGGAAGACATCGAGCTTGGCCACGCCGAAGCCTTTGAGATAGGTCCTTGTTGGTTACGTGAGCTGAGATTGGTGGCTGAAGGTCAGGCTCGGGAGAAATGAGGCACTGCTGTTTGGGCCTGTAGCATGGCCGTTGCATAAACGCGAGTTTATACCGGGGAAGGTTGCTGTGAGTCAAGTTTGCAAACGCATGTCTCCTTCCGAGCTGAGTGCTCTGATGTGCACACTCAGTAGAAAGTCAGCTCCAATTCCTGTGGACATTCACCTTTACACTTTACACCAGCACCCCGCGTTCTGGCTCTCTGCCAAAATATTTCTTTTCCCAGTGGCTGGAAACTGATTAGCTAGATGGGAGAACAAAGGTGCCTTTGTACTGGGGCATATTGCTTTGGAGAATTTAGCGGAGAGCATTCAAATGGAGTCTGGACGCGATGCCAAATTATGCAGATTTGGGGTTTTTTGGTCAGGTTTCCCATGAGTCGGTGTGTAGGCAACTTGATTTTGTTCTCAGTTTGTATGGTCTGGAATTTCCCTTATAAATACCATGTAGGCTTTCATTATTGAAAAGTAAAAATACAAATATAAACGTGTGAGAAAGTACTTCAATTTAGAAAACTAATTTTGTAGGTTGTTGGCCAAATTTTACCAAAAAGACTCTTCCATCAGTGGAACTATTTTCAAAACCAAATTACAACTAAATTTCTGTTTCAGTAAGAACACACTGTAAATACTTTATAAACAAAGATAAAAGTGTCCCCAATGGGGGAATAAAGTACAGTAAATTCCCAACTTATGAACAAGTTCTGTTCTGGGAGAGTTCTTCTTAAGTCGGATTTGATCATAAGCCTAACCCTAACCCGACCAAGTGAGTCTCCCACAGTACAACTCTGAAGATTCGCAACTTGAATGTTGACAGGCTGGGAACTTGCTGTACACCCTGCCTTCCGCATTTATCGGAAATAGGTTTTTAAGAATTTATGTAGCATCAGAAAGGAATGTGGACCCTCCTGTGCTCTGACATGTGACCCAAATCTGACCTTCACCATGTGAACTTGGGCGTTACTGGCTGGGTAGAGAGCCCTGGGTTCTAGTCCCTTCTCTGTAGCTTACTGTGTACCCTCCGTTCCCTAGTCTGTAGTGACAGTGATGACGGCTCACCCCCACAGGTGAGGACTGGCGTAGCGAGCTCACTTAGCCAAAGCTGTGTGCAGTATGACGTGATGGCACACTGTCTGTGGCTGCCGGGGACTAGGATTTAGCACTAGTTCTTTCTGGGAGGGCTACAGGGCCTTTTATCTCTTTTCTTCTTTTTTTTTTTTAAACCCAGGGCTTTTGCACTGAGCTCTGTCCCCAGCCTTTTTATTTTGAGATGAAGTGCTAAGTCACTGCATTGCCCAGGTTGGGCTCTTGCTGGCCAACCTCATGCCTCAGCCAGGGCCTTTTCCTGAACTATATCCCCAGCCTTTTTTTTTTCCTTATTTTTTGTTTTGAGAGAGCTTCTCACTAAATTGCCTGGGCTTGACTCAAATTTGCAATCCTCCTGCGTCAGCCTCCTAAAGTTGGGATTACAGAGATGGGCCACCATTCCCTGTTCATCTCTTTTATTCTTATTGAAGTACTTTTTTAATCCTTGGAAATTCGACTTTTAGTTTTCTCATTCCAGTTGGGTTTTGGAGGTTTTGTTTTGTTTTTCTGTTTTTGAGAGAGTCTTGCTATGTATTCCATCCAGGTTGGCCTTGAACTCATGATGTAACGCAGGCTATCCTCAAACTCAGTGGTTCTTCTGCCTCAGCTCCCTAGTCCTGCAGTTACAGCCATGTGCCACCAGTCCTGGCCTCATTCATTCCAGTTAGTTTGTTTTTTTTGTCTTTTTGAGACAGGATCTTCCTACGCAGTTCAGGCTGGCCTTGAGCTTACTTTGTAGCCCAGGCTGCTCTCGAACTCACAACGATCCTCCTGCCTCAGCCTTCCAAGTGCTGGTATTACAGGCATGCGCCACCATGCCCGGCTTTGAATTGTTAGGTTTTGTTATTGTTATGGTTGTGGGTTTTTTTGTTTGTTTGCTTTGAGAAAGGTTCTTGCTATACAGTTCAGGGACTAAGCTTGAACTCCCTTATGTAGCCCAGGCTGGCCTCAAACTTGCTGTGAACCTCCTGCCTCAGCCTCCCGAGTGCTGAGATTACAGGCGTGCGCCACCACACCCAGCTCATTCCAGTTAGTTTTGAAAATAAGGTTTTAGAGCTGGGGATATAGGTCAGTGGCACAGCACCTGCCTGGCAAGCACAAGGTCATGAGTTCGATTCCTAGTACCAAAAAAAAAAAAAGAAAGAAAATATGATTTTAACTTTAGTTCCTGTTGTCAATTTCATTTCCTTTTTTTTTTTTAACCTCTTTCTCTAATGTTTCCTCTGTCTTTCTTCAGCTACATGATTTAATAATATCTGAGGTTAGGTGTCTTGGTTTGCCATAGCTTATATCAAAGATTCTAAATTGATAGCTTTAAGAATGAGTTCAAAAGGTATGTGATTTGGGTAAATAGGTTCTTTTGTTGAAATTACTTAATTAGAGGTTATCAATTTAAAATGTAAAGATTTTTGCGTGAACATAGGGTTTCTGTCATGAAGAAAATCTGCCAGGAACTGAAGAGCAGCTGTACCATTTAAATGAGGCAGGAAAGCCAGGCGTGGTGGTGGCGCCTGTAGTCCCCAGCACTCAGGAGGCTGAGGCAGGAGGATTGTTGTAAGTTTAAAACCAGCCGGGGCAGGGGCTGGGGTTTTAGCTCAGTGGCACAGCGCCTGCCTGGTAAGCACAAGGTCGAGAGTGCGATTCCTGGTACCAGAAGAAAAACAAAAACCAAAAAAAAAACAAACAAACAGAAGACCAGCCAGGGCTACAAAGTGAACTCAAGATCAGCCTGAAGTGCATAGTGAGACCTTGTCTCAAAAAGGCAAATAAGTAAATAAATAAATTGAATGAATGAATGAATGAGGCTACGAGCTGCGGTTTGTCAGTTGTTAACCACGCACTCCCTTTTGTCTGTGTCACACTACTGAGGCAAATGTCATTACACTTTATTGTTTTTCATACGTTGAAGAAAAAGGTTAAAAACCTTATCTCTGCCTCTGTCAAAAGTGGAAAAATGAAATATTGAGAAACATGCACCCCCAGGAAACTGAGGGAGGGAGTGATTTGCAGACCAAATTCCCTAAGTATTTGCTGTGTCCCCTGAATTCTATTATCCGCCCAGTTGCTAAGACATACACATATGTGATGTTATGCACTCTCTCTCCTTTGCTTTTTTTTTTTTCCCTCCGGTACCGGGAACCGAACTCACGACCTTGCGCTTGCCACTGAGCTAAATCCCCAGCCCCTCCTTTTCATTTTTGGTATTGGAGATTGAACCCAGGGCCTCAGATAATGCTAGACACATGCTCTACTATGGAGCTACATCTCCAGCCACTTTTTTATTTCGTTTTTTGAGACAGTCTCTACGTGGGGTGGCCTCATATTTGTGATCCTCTTGCCTCAGCCTCCCAAAGAGCTGGAGTTACAGGCTTGTGTCCCTAGCTGCTTCTCTCTCAAGTTCTTGGGTTCAATGTGATAAATATGCAAATTGGAGGCTTTTTAAACAAATGAAGGAAAAATATATTTAAAATAGATGGTTTAAAGTGATGTCTGAGAATGAGTTTGTAGCCTGTGTGGTATATACCTGTAGTCCCAGCTAATTACACCTGAGACAGGAGGCTTGTTTGAGCCAAGGATCTTTTGAGCCTAGGACTTTGAGACCAGCTTGGGCAACACAGCGAGATCCTGTCTCCAAAAAATGAGTTTGTGAATTCTATCAGAATTTCATTTGCCATGTTTAATATTGTTTAATAGTCAAAGAGCGTTACCAAATTTAACTTCAACATTTAGTAATTTTGCAATGTATGTGTGAGAGGGCCCCCTAGTGGGTTTTTTTGGCATGGTATATTTTTATTGTACATTTTGTTCTAATTTGAGTAAGCTTTTATTTAGCTAGTTTATGTACCAGGTGTATTTGAGTTGTATCCTTTCTGTGCAAATTCAGCTACAAGTAAGTCAGTGTTTTTACAGTATTTCTGTAATTATTTCATTTTATTTTTAAACAGAAGAAGCAGACTACAGTGCCTTTGGTACAGATACTCTAATAAAGAAGAAGAATGTTTTAACCAATGTATTACGTCCTGATAACCATAGAAAAAAGCCACACATAGTCATCAGTATGCCACAAGACTTCAGACCTGTGTCTTCCATCATAGATGTGGATATTCTCCCCGAAACACATCGTAGAGTTCGTCTTTACAAATACGGCACTGAGAAACCCCTAGGATTCTACATCCGGGATGGCTCCAGTGTCAGGGTAACACCTCATGGCTTAGAGAAGGTCCCGGGGATTTTCATATCCAGGCTCGTCCCAGGAGGTCTGGCTCAAAGCACAGGACTATTAGCTGTTAATGATGAAGTCTTAGAAGTTAATGGCATAGAAGTTTCAGGGAAGAGCCTTGACCAAGTAACAGACATGATGATTGCAAACAGTCGTAACCTCATCATCACAGTGAGACCAGCAAATCAGAGGAATAACGTCGTCAGGAACAGTCGGACTTCTGGCAGCTCTGGCCAGTCCACTGATAACAGCCTTCTTGGCTACTCACAGCAGATCGAACCAAGCTTTGAGCCAGAAGATGAGGACAGCGAAGAAGACGACATTATTATTGAAGACAACGGAGTGCCGCAGCAGATTCCGAAAGCTGTTCCTGACGCTGAGAGCCTGGAGTCCTTAACACAAATAGAACTCAGTTTTGAGTCTGAACAGAATGGTTTTATCCCTTCTAATGAAGGGAGCTTAGCGCCCATAGCAAGTGGCACAAACACAGAATTTGAAGCACGTGCTGCAGATCGAAAACTCTTAGAAGAAGATGGGACGATCATAACATTATGAAGCCATTGTGTGAGTGTTTTCTGAATCATGAGGATGTCGTGGGACATGTAACTCTGGCTAGTAAATTAAAGCATATATACCTCTGAGCCAGTGATGTGGAGTAGGCATGAGAAAAATAATATTGCAAGCTTAAAACTTTACTACAATACTAGGTTGATAATTGTCACTGTAAACTTTGAAGACTCAGAGGTGAATTTATGTCTGAAACACAAGGGCCTTGCTAATGAAACTAACGTGCTTTTGCTGTTTTCCCTGTGGAGAACTGGATCATGGAGCACGTTCCCTGAACTGTGTGAGAGGACTGGATCATTTCTGCTCGAAGTGGTTGCATATTTAACCTGCTATGCAGAGCCTAGTTAATTTTCCCTTTAGCTGTGTTTTTAAAATTCTGATGTGAGAAAGTCCAATTCTCTCTTTCGGTACACTGAGGACTAAGGTCCTTACGTTCCCAGTACTGTGTGTGTGGTGTTTGTTTTTTTAATGTTGTTCCTTTGTTGTTCATTGTGACAAGTTATCTTCACAAATGCAGTTGTCCCCCGTTTCCCAAGAAATCAAACCAGCTGGCCAGTGTTAGCGTTGCTTCCCGCGTTACTCAGCACTGAAGCCTGTCCTGAGTGTGAGGCCGTGACAGCCGCTCGCGTCGGCCTGTGTCATCCGGTACCTTCCTCTTTAGGACCGCCCTGTGTGGGCACCGTTGATGCTGGAGGGCAGTGCCCTTGGCTGGTAATACAGGAGCCTCTCTCCCTTCACCTGTTCTTGTCTTTATTCCAGGTCACGTTGGAAATCATTCCCTTTGTTTTTAGTGTCTGCTTCATTGGTGTGCTTTTTCAATACTCTTAATGCCTTCGAGTGGTATGAGGCATTTTGGATTAAAAAGGCACCCAAGTGAAGAGTTTTTTACACACAGGACAAACTTGTGCACTTTTTATACAAAAATTGGGTTTTCCTTCATGGGCTGTCTAGGAACACTGCCTACACTTTATGAAAACTACGTAGTGTTCAGCCATGACAGGTAGAGTTTATTAACTTTATGAGGCTATTTATTACTTTCCACTGCATCCACTTGGGACGAGTTAGGAGTAAGGCTGCTACGTTCATCCTGTGCCTGATCTCATCGTATCGCGTGCACAAGCACGGCGGTGTGCGTGTATATAGACAGAGTCGTGTGAAGACCGTAAGTTCCCTCTGGCTTATGGAGAGTTATTTATTAATTAATTTTATGGTAGGGCTAGTATGGTACCTTTCTAACCATTGTGTGCTATTCAAATGATGAAGATTTAAATGACTCCGTCTTGAAGGACGTTTTCTCTATACGGTAAGATATATGAAGAAGCGAAGTCTTAATTTAATGATGATCACTGGACTCAGAGGACTTCACTATTTTTTGTTCTTGTTACCACTAAGCATATTCTCTGTACACTATGAACTGACTACACAACATTATGTGGCACAATGTACTTCCTGTTGAATTCACTGAAGTTCTTCCTTTATGTATGATGGCATTCCAGCTTTAACATTCTTTGAGTCTTAGAAATTTGACTCTTGAATGGCAGGATAATGTGTGTTGTAGCAAGTTAAATTTCATTTATGATATAAATGGTGCAGGGGCTCAACATTTTAAGTAAAAATACTTTTACACACTACCTCTCTCTCTTTTTTTTTAACAAAGTTTTAACATTAGAACTTTTCTCTTGGGGAAAAATACTTCAGGGCTTGACTTTTGTACAAATTTTAACTGTAAAGTACACATTTATCTTGTATCTGTTCGTGAACATGGAAATCAAAGCTGCTACTGCTTTTTATTTAATTATCCTACTAAGGATATATACCAGTGGTGTTTCCAACTAGATCTCAGTAAATTATTGGTGAAATAATTGATTAATGGGCATAGTGTAAAACGATTAGATCTTGGTTACTGGCAAGTCTTACGCAGTTACTGCATTTTATCGGCAGTCTGAATCAATTATTTCAAGTTACCCCTTAATAAAAATATCAGTGAATCCAGTGTAAAATTTTATAGTACTAAATGTCAAGCCTAACTGTGAATTTTGTTCTGTACCTTAAGTAAATTTATGATAATGTTCTCAAGCTGTCAACAGAATATATGTACTTTTGTGAACTATGAATTTTCTAATTAAATTTTACATGTTATAACATGATTTTTACATGAATGATACTTTGTTTAAACTATCAAATGTCAGTATTTTACTACAATTTTATTATAAATTGTACATTATCACTAAATGAACTTTTGATTTTAAAAATCAAATTAGCATTAGTTGGATATTATTTTTTACAAATAAAAATAGACTTATGTAAAGGCTACTTTCTTGTTTGAAATTATATGAAAAGTCACCCAACAAGTGACTGGGTAGGGGGGGAAATTGACAAGATGTAGCAAGATTCTTTCTTCCTTCCTTCCTTTTTAAGAGTGTGTTCCCTTCTGGTTCAGACTGGTCTTGGACTGCCTAGGTAGCCCAGGCTGGACTGGAACGCAGGGTCGTGCTGCCTCAGGCTCCTGAGTGTTGGGATTATAGGCGTGTATAATCCTATGTCTGGCAGCTTCCTAATTTATAATTGTTTTAAAAGGTGAGCACCTGACTTTAGATTCTTGCTCTGCAACTGTGTATGAGTGCCTCACGGTAGACTGCAAGGTAATGCCTCAGATGTGCATTCCCATAGCCGGCAAGGATGGGCATGATGCCACCCAGTCTTCTACTCTGTTGCTGATTATTGGAAGCAAAAGTAGTTTCTAGTTTGAACAGTTTATCTTCTGAAGTCCAAATTCACTTTATACTTATTTATTGTCACCCTACATAGTAGGATCTATATGGACTGAGTTCAGTTTATACTAAGAACTTTAAAAGTCTGAGAGAAAACCAGCCTTCCTCCTAAACTGTTCCTAATGCAGAATGAGTCACCCTGTCCTCGGCATAGTTGGTCACTACATAACCCCTTCCCCAACCAGTTCAGAGGCCAGTGTTCACTCCCCCGCCCCCCACTTATCATTGAAAGTCCTGAGTGTAAATTGATCACATGTGTAAACTCTCCACTTCGTTGATTGGGTTGCAGTCAGTACCTGGTGTTCTTTTCTGGGCTTCAGGGTCCAAGGAGAGAATGTCTCTTACCCTCAAAATATGACCAAATGCTGTTTGCATGTTACATTCCTGCAGCTGCCTGGTTTTCAGTTCTGGCTGAGAACGCGATTCCCAACCCAGGATACTAGTACACTAGGCAAGTGCTCTGCTGCAGAGCTACACTTCCTAGCCGGAATCTGATACATTTGATTTTCAGGAAAAACTAATGTTACAGAAATCTATTAATGAAACAAAAATTACAAAGAAAAGGTAAGTCCCTCTGTTCTGGCTGTGCCTTGAGATGCTTCAGTGTTTAGCAGCAACAGACAACCCCTGCCTGACTCCCACCTTTGGTTGGAAGAAAGGTTTAAGCCATTGCAAGTCTTGGTTGTGGCCCTGCGACTGCCTGTCATTTGTGATGGCGGCTCTGACCTGCCTGTAGGAAAAGCACTTGAGCCTCCTAGCTGTACAGTAACACCATCTATGTGCTATGTAAGTGTTGTCAGGAGAGACATTTTATAAACCAAAATGTTACTCTTCTTGTCCACAGGAAGTACAGATGCAGTCAGAGATCTGTCAGTGAGTGGATGTCTAGCCCTTAGAAGGTAAATACGTAGGAAATTTGTTAGATTTGGCAGTTTAAATTTTTAGTGTATAGTAGCCTTCCAAATTCTTGCCTGAGAACAAGATTTAGATAGATTTTTTTTCCTTTTTGAGACAGGGTCTCATTTTGTAGTTCAGCCTGGCCATGAACTCTTGGTGATTAATCTATCTCAATCTGAGTGCTAGGATTACAGGAATGCATAACCACTTCTGGCTTTTGATAAATAATTTTTGGCGGGGCTGAGGCTTTAGCTCAATGGCACAAGCACCTGCTTGGCAAGTGCAAACTGAGTTGGATTCTTGGTACCAAAAAAGAAATTTTTTTTGGTTTTGTGTTTGGGAGGTGTTTTTTGGTTTTGTTTTGGGGTTTTATTTATTTTTGAGACAGGGTCTCATGTAGTTCAGGCTGGCCTTGAGCTCTATGTTGTCTAGGCTGGCCTCAGATTCATAGCAGTCCTCCTACCTCACCCTCCCAAGTGCTGAGGTCATAGGTCTGCGCAATCACACCTGGCTCTAGATAGATAATACTCTAAAAGTGAATGTGTTTATCCAGTTAGTTGATAACATTTGGTGTATATTTTATAAATTAATAGTAAAAATGTATAAATTAATCCTAAAATTCAGTGGAGTTTGTATTTTTTATTTTTTTCTTTTTTGGTAATACTAGGTATACTTACATCAAAGCCAGGGAGTACTGAGCTAGATCCCTAGCATTTTTTTTTCCCCTTAATTTTATTTTGAGACAAGGTCTTACTAAATTGTCCAGCTGATCTTGAATTCACTATCCTGCCTCAGCCTCCTTAGTTGCTGGGATTATAGGCATGTGCCACTACATTCCACTGAGTGAATGAATGAATATAGATGCTAAAATCAGTTGTTTTCCTATTTATAAAAGCTGTCTTCTGGGAGTGAGATTTATTCTAAAAGTATTTCCTAGAAAATCAAGAAAATTTACTACCCTTATTCAGTTTGTTACAATCCCAAGGGATGGATAACAAAGTTGTTTAATACAGCATCAACAAGTAAAGATAACTTTAAAATAGTTTTTACCAGGCTGAGAAAGGAGGATCAGTACAAGTTTAAGGCCAGCCTGGGCTACATGGTGAGCTCAGTACCAGCCTGAACAACATAATGAAACCCTGTCTCTAATAATAATAATAATAATAATTTTCAATCCTACAAATAGTATACAGATTTATTGTTCTTATTAAAAAACAGTGCAGAAAAGGCTAAAGTCTTTGTGGGCATCCATGGATACTTACCCGTACTGTGTTTTGTTATAAAAAGCAATTAAGGTGGTTTAAAATAGCAATTCTAATTTATAATCCAAGTTGGGACAGTTTCTTAATACTTTTTTTTTAATAGTACCAGGGATTGAAGTTAGGGCAGTGATGGTGACCCTTTTGGAGACTGAGTGCCCAGATTGCAAGCCAAAACCCACTTAATTATCGCAAAGTGCCAACGCTGCAGTTCAACCTCAGTACTGAGGTTTTAGTTTAGAAAAATTAACTGTTACCCAGTGCTCAGCTGCTGGGACAGCTTGGTTCAAGCACAGACGGGGCTCTGCGTACCGGCCGGGGCACGCGTGCTGTAGGTTCACCCCGCTGTCCTCAGATGGCAAGCATGCTGGGCCAGAGCCCTACCACTGAGCAGAGCACGTCCTTACCTCCAGACTGAGACGCTTTTGAGAGAAAACAGGTTTGTTATTAATTACACAAGGACAACTTGGGAGGCTGAGGCAGGAGGATCATTGCAAGTTCGAGGCCAGCCTGGGCTACAAAGTGAGCTCAAGCCCAGCCTGAACTGCATAGTGAGACCCTGTCTCAGAAAGACCAAAACCAAAAAAGCAAGGACAACTCACTCAGCTGGGGCTGCCTCAGGGAGAGGGCAACTATAGCATAATAGCTTTTAAAATTTTAAAAAACAAAACCTATAACCCACAGTAAGAAATGCATTGACAGCACACATATTTATGTAGATGTATAAATATTTATATATATAAAATTTAAAAAGTGAAACTGAAAATTGTTTTTTTGTTTGTTTGTTTTTGAGGTTCTGGTGATTGAACCCAGGGTCTTGTGTGTTCTGGGCCAGCTTCCATTTCATTTTTTAAAATGTCTATTCTAAACAGTTTCAGTATGCACAGATTGAAATGCACTCATGCTTGTAACACCATGCCCGGCTGGAAATAATTTTTCAAATCTAGAAATGAGCTGCATTAAAAGCTCAGGTTAGACCCTTCACCCAGATTATACCCAAACCTGCTTTATCTATTCTTCTATATTTATTGTTTCCTGAAGTTTAAGAATGTGTTACATAGGTCCTGTCCCTTCATACTCTATGGGTGTTTGAATTGGCGAGCATGTATTTCCCAAGAACGAGGACATTCATTTATATATTTCCCAAGAACGAGGACATTGATTTATATATTTCCTGAACAACAATTCAATGATCAAACTCAAAAAAAATGTAATGTTGATACAGTACTATTTAAGACACAAGCTATGGTAGAGTCTGACCGACTGTCCTAATGAAGGCTTTTCAGAAAATATTTCCGCAATCCAGGACCCAGTCCAGAATCAAGCATCACCTTTAGTTGTCATGTCTTTTATTTTTCCCCCAGGACTTGCACACTGAGCTACATCCCCACTACATACATACGCACACCTTTTTTTTTAATTTTTGAGACAAGGTCTCCCTAACTTGCTAAATTGTCCAGGCTGGGCTCGAACTTTTGATCCCCCTGCCTCACCTTTGAAGAGTACTGGGGTTATAGACGTGCCCCACTGTGTCTGGCTTTGGATGGATACTCTTGCGTGTCTGTGCCTCTGTGCATTTCTGGATCCAGTGATTACTGTCTCTGGCATGGACGTGAATCAAGGAAAACACCCAAGCAGTAGTCAGCTCTGTAACAGAGGGGCTGGTTTCTGGCCTTGGGATTCTTTGGATTTTTGCATAATCCCAAATCCAACTGGCAAACATAAAAAGACATGTATTACTTCATATAAGTGAAAAGTCAGGACTAGGATTTTGGCACTGACGCTAATAGTGCTGTCTGAGAACTCTCCACAACAATAGAAATGTCCCATATTCACTCCGTCCAGAAGGGAGTCTGTGTTTGGCTATTGCATATTTCAAATGTCATTAGTGTAACCGAGAATTTTTTTTAAGTTTAATTGTATTTATTTTTGGTGGCAGGAGCTTACTAAATTGCTCAGGCTGGTCTCGAACTTGCAGTCCTCCCACCTACATTACAAATGGTGTTTTCAGGTATTACTGCTTATTTTTATTTTATTTAAAACAAATCTGAAGCTGGGCGTGGTGGCGCAGGCCTGTAATCCCAGCACTCGGGAGGCTGAGGCAGGAGGATTGTTGCGAGTTCGAGGCCAGCTCAAGGCCAGCCTGAACTGCATAGTGAGACCCTGTTTCAAAAGGACAAAAAATAAGTAAATAAAAAAATAAATCTGGCACAAATAAAT